CCTCTTCCCCCCAGGTCACCGACCGCAGCGTGGCCCTCTCCCCCCAGGTCACCGACCGCAGCGTGGCCCTCTCCCCCCAGGTCACCGACCGCAGCGTGGCCCTCTCCCCCCAGGTCATCGACTGCAGCATGGCCGTGCAGGAGGAGCCCAAGGAGCCGCGCGGGGCCTCGGTGCTGCCCTGGATCCTCTTGCACCGCATCATCTGGCAGGAGGAGGACACCTTCCGCTCCTTGTGCCACCAGCAACAGCTCCAGAGCGCAGCAGATGAAGGTGCTGGCGTGCGGGTGGGAGTGGGCCCGGCCTGGGCGGCCTGCAGCCCGTCTGGGTCAGCGGTGTGCCTGGGCACAGTCTGCAGGACCCCTCTTCCTGCAGGAGCTCCTGTGCAGGGTGGGGGACATGACGTGGCTGGTGAACGTGGCACACGCATGAAGGACCCAGTGGAGGGTGCACACTAGGTGGGATCGCACTGCCCAGAAGGTTCCATGCCCATCAGAGCCTTTAATCCTCACACTGGCACTGTGAGGTGGGCAGCCTGGCTCCAGAGTCCCGTCACCTAACCACGACACCTGACCCTCCTGCTAGGGGCCAGTAAGGTTGGCACTACAGGGGCCCACAGGCTCCACCTCCAGCTCTGTGGCTGTGGGCAGTCACATGATCATTCAGTCCATTGCCCACAGCCATCCACACGTGCTGGTGTAGAGGGGCCGAAGTTACAACCCAGCTGTCGCCACAAGAAGTCGAGGCCTGGCTTGTGCTGGGGGCTGGGCAATGAGTGGCCACTGTTAGTTGAGAAGCCAGAGTGAGCCTCGGGCCCAGGTTGAGGGGCATGGAGCCAGCCCAGACATACTGGATAAAGTTGGGTTTGTTAACAAAATTACCTAATAGCAACAGCTAATGGAAGGAGTAGGCAAAGATGCATGTAATCCTACCAGCTGGACCTGTGTTCTGTTTTCTTATGTGCTGTGTCCAAATAAGGCCTAGATACATAGAACCAAAAACCCAAACCCGTTGCAGTTGATTCCAATTCATATTGACACTGTAGGACAGAATGGAGCTGTACCACAGGGTCTCCAAGGTTGTTAGTCTTTATAGAGGCAGAGCCAAACCACACCCACTGCCATGGAGTCCATTCCAACTCTCAGCGCCCCTAGAGAACAGAGTGGAACTGCCCCCTAGGGTTTCTGAGGCTGTCAGTCTCTACAGAAGCAGACCTCCTCATCTTTTTCCCACAGAGCTCTAATGATTTGGAACTACCAGCTTTTTGGTTGGCAGCAGAGCGCTTTAACCACTGTGCCACCAGGGCTTCTTTTTATCTTTATATACACATATTTCCTGTAAAAAGTCTTGCTGTGATTCTGGTCCACACACATATATTCAGTTTAGGGTTAAGTTTGTTAAGGGGCTTTCCTTGGTAATTTGAAAAATAAAAAAAGTGGAGAAATCATTCTTATTCCAGCAATCCAGAGAAAACCAGAGTGGTCCTGTGGCTTGTTTCTGTCCATTCGGTGTCTCGATGTAACCATGTTTCTGCAGCATGTCGGGCCTCTGTGAGCAATGCATTCTGACTTCACAGGCCAGGGCAGTGTGGATGGGAGAGGCAGGGCCCAGAGAGCCACAGGCCAGGAGGAGGGTTGGCGCGTGTGGGTCAGGGGCACGCAGGATGCAGCAGGCATCCCATTTTCTTCTCGCCTGCATGGTTTCTGCTGAAAAATCCTAGCTTACTCTTATTGGTTGCCCTTGTAGGTAACTTTTTGTTTTTCCCATGCTGCTTTCAGGATTCTTTCTTTGTCTTTGGTTTTGACGAGTTTGATAATGGTATCTCTTGGTGATTTTTTTGGGGGGGGGTCTATCCTGTTTGGGGTTCACTGAATTTTTTGAATGGGTATCTTCTTGCCTTTCATCACATTAGGGAAATTTCTCTTCCAACAAATCTTTTGACTACGCTGGAATACTATCCAGCCAGAAAGACAAATGGAGTCTTGATACATTGTGCAACATGGGTGGAGTTTGAATACATTACCAAAATGCAGAAACCAAACCCTCTGCCGTCAAGTCAGTTCCCACTCACAGCGACCCCACAGGACAGAGGAGAACTGCCCATGGGGCTTCTAAGTCTGTAACTTTTATGGCTGCACACTGCCACATCTTCCTTCCATGGAGTGGCTGGTGTGTTAGAGCTGCCAACATTTTGATTAGCAGCTGAGGACTTAACTACTGTGCCAGGACGGGTCCTTGAGGACATTGTGCTGAGTAGAATAAGTCAATTACTAAACAACAAATAGTGTACGACCTCACTGACGAAAAAAGACAAAACAGGTGAATGTATGGAGACCAAAGTTTATTAGTGGTTACCGGGGCAGGAGGGAGGAGGAATGGAGGATTTATTGGTTATGCAGCACTGAATTTCGGTTTAAGGTGATGGAAAAATTGCATTGATTAAGGGTAAGGTTGCACAGCTGGTATAGTTGATGTCAGTCTACGGGTAGATGCCTAGGTAGACAGGATGCTCAGGGATGGGCAGGTGGATGAGAACATATCCATGACCATATATAGGGCTGGCAGATGATATTCCTACATACATGCTTGTACCTGTTGTAAAAATATCCATGTATATTATAAAGCTAACAGGGGACAAACTTAGGATAACTTCTTAGCTACAAGCTAGCACTCTGAGGGAGGGAGTGGCTGATCCTGCAGGCTCAGGACCGTAGTTGCAGGGTACATCAAGTTCAGTTGACACAAGATAGTCCACAAAAAAACAGAAACAAAAACAAAAATTGTTCTACATCCTGCTTGGGTGAGTAGTGACAGGAGTCTTAAAAGCTTGAGAGAGGCTCCTTAAAAGCTTGAGAGAGGAGCAAACAAGAGTGAAGAAAATGAAAGACACACGGAAAGTACTAATCCAAAGGACGAATGGGCCATGTGAACCTCAGCCTCCAAGACCCTGGACCAGAAGAACTAGATGATTCCCAGCTACCAACACCAACCACTCAGAAGGATCAAGATAGGAGACCCCGGATAGAGTGTGATAAAAATGGGGAACAAAACTCAAAATCATAAAATACAACCAGGCTTGGTGGTCTGGTAGAGACCAGTGAAACCCCCAAGATGACGGCCCCTAGTCACCCTTCTGGCCTGGAATCGAACTCACTCCCGTGGCTTTCAGCTCAAAACTAGACAGGTGCAGAAGGTGAAGGTTGACACTGGGTAGGCAGGTGCACTCCTCAGGGCCATCAAGTGTGGGAGATCAGGAGGGCAGTGTTTGCGCAGGGAGAGAGCGCAGAGGGCAGCGAGGCGTAGGAAAGAAGGACACGGAAGAGGGAAGCAAAGGGAGGCTGTGGGAAGAGAGCTGTTACATCACGGGGATTACAGTCAATGTCACAAAACAAAATGGGTCTGAACTGTTGAATGGAACGTGAATCTGCTCCATAAGAGTTCCCCCAGATCACAATACAAAGTTTTAAAAAAGTGTACACACATAAAAAGTTGAATTTTCAGCTGTGTGCTAGATACATTTACAACAACACAACAGAGCAGCTGGTGAGGTGGGTTCTACAGCCGACCCCTCATGAGACTCAGTGCCTTGATCTGGAGGCTGAGGCACGGCTCTGTGAGACAGCCTGGTAATTTACATACTGCAGCGTGCAGTGCCCCATTCTGCCTTCTAGGTGGTTGTGAGTGCCTGGAGTCCTGAAAGCTTGTGAACCTTCCTCCAAAGTACAACAGTTGTTGTTAGGTGCTGTCAAGTTGTTTCCGACTCATAGCGACCCCACACACAGCAGAACGAACACTGCCCGATCCCGCGCTCCATGATCCCTTGAGCCCATCGTCGCAGCCACCGTGTCAATCCATCTCGTTGAAGGCCTTGCCCTCCTTCGTCGACCCTCCACCTTACCAAGCATGACATCCTTTTCTAGGGAAAGGTCCCTTCTGACAACATGACCAAAGTAGATGAGACGAAGTCTAGCCATTCTCACTTCCAAGGAGCATTTTGGCTGCACTTCCTCCAGGACAGATCTGTTCTTTTATCAGTCCATGGTACTTTCAGCATTCTTCGCCAGGACCACAACTCAAAAGCATCAACTCTTCTTCTGTCTTCCTTATTCATTGTCCAGCTCTCACATGCATACAGGCGATTGAAAATATCATGGCTTGTGTCAGGCGCACCTTAGTCCTCAAGGAGATATCCTTGCTCCTCAGCACTTGAAATAGTTCCTTCATGGCCGACCTGCCCAGTGCTACGTGTCATCTAATGTCCTGACTGCTGCTTCCTTTGGCATCGATTGTGGAACCAAGCAGTGTGAATCCTCTGACAACCTCAAATCTTTTTTCCATTTATTGTGATGCTGCTTATTGGTCCAGTTTTAAGGATTTTTGTTTTCTTTATATTGAGATGTAATCCATACTGCAGACTGTATTCTTCAGTCTTCTTCAGTAAGTGCCTCAAGTCATCCTCACAGCAAGCAAAGTTGTATCATCAGTGTATCTTAGGTTGTTAAAGAGTCTTCCTCCAATCCTGATGGCATGTTTTTCTTCATATAGTCTAGCTTCTAGGATTATTTGCTCAGAGTATAGATTGAAGAAGTATGGGGAAAGGATACAACCCTGACACACTCCCTTCTTGATTTTAAACCATGTAGTGTCCCCTTGTTCCGTTTGGACAGCCTCTTGGTCAATGTACAGGTTCCTC